CAATCCAAAACTCTCATGGTTTGAATGCGGTAGTTGAATATAGCACATTGTCTTGATTCATGTCCATGCAGCTAAACTTCATGCAGGTAAATAGCACAGAAACCGCTGCTCAACACAAATCAACTGGAATGTAATTACTAGCAATACTCAGCACCAGACACTGGCTGGTAAACTGTTCTTTACCAAAGCCCAACATTCATAATTCCACAATCTCTGCTTACCATACCGGTAGCTGAACATGAAATGTGCACCTGTCATGCCTGTATGCACCTGTCATGCCTGTATGCACCTGCATGCTTTATGGGTTTGCTATTAATATTGGCTTATAGTATACCCAATCCGTGGCAAACGCCTATCAGCTTACAGTTTTCAAATGCAAAATATGGTAAGCACGCAACGACCATAAGAAGAGAATTCCTTGGTTCACTCAACCAATGAAATTGGGCAAGCTCTCAAGATCTGTGCCTGAAAAGCTACATGTACCACACAAAGAAATCTGCTTAGCTGAACAAGTTTATAAGAAAACCAGCTCTGATACCATGCAATACATACTGCTTGCAACGAGACAGCAGTTGATTAATTGGATTACTTTGAGAGTATTCTAAGCAAAAATCTTCTTTGACAATTCTTTGACACTTCAGTCATATCTCATATCTACCACATGCATGATAGACTACATAATGGAACCACCACCAAGCAGCCTACCGTTTCATTGTCTGATTGGAAATCATCATCCTCCATGGACATGATCTGAACCTGAGGGGCTGGCATGTTCTGAACCGTGGGTGCATCAGAGGATAATGCTTGAGAGAATGGCTCCACGGTGCTGACTGTAGCCATCTTGAAGGTGTGGTTAGGAGGAGTCACAGTGGCATCCCGATGCTGCTTGCTCTACAAAAAAAGGAACGATACACAGAAGAATGGTCTGGAGCTACCGGTATCATGTATCACAAGGCACTGGAAACCATGAGGAAACAAGACTCCAACAAAATTGAGGCCTCACATCAAATAGCTTCCCAGCCCCTCATATCAAACAATCTATCCACTCTTAAATGTAATAAGTAAGGGTGTATTTACATAGCAACGATGGTATTTTGGTGGGAGCTCATCCCATGACTGCACAGGTTTATGCGAGTTTGCACTCCCGG